GCCAAACCAGAGAGATCCTTTGACCCAGCCCACCTTTTCCATCCACTGCGCCGAGACGATATTTAATCACTTGCACTATGTGATAAGAATGGGCCGATAATGACTGTTTCACGACTCCTGCCTCGAGGCGATAGTTAACGATGCCATAGTACTAGAGTGGGCCTATATAGAGGCAACTACATTACGAATAACCAGGAATAACGCTATAGCAGATCAGTCATGCCGAGACGAAATAATTCATCAGGGAAGATATCAGGGATGTTCTCATGATAAGACCTTTAAAGTATTCCAGAACTGACAACGACAATGACAGCGACGAAGATGCCACCGAGAGCAGTAACGTACACGTGGGGGGAATTTACGGCATACATAGCACCGGGGTTCCTGAACCGGAACCGGACAGCGTCGCCGCCACGCTGCAGGGCCACTAAACTATCCAGGCTCAGGACCAGCAGGAAGACGAGCAGGAGTTCTGCGACTGGGACGACGGCGTGCCACACGTCTACGTCCCGCCACTGGCCCACCTAGAATGGCACGATTGGGAGGACAGCTGGGAGATACCTCCCGCATACTTCCACCTCCCGGAAGACTCCTGGCTCGCCTTTAACCGGACGGAAGAGGAGAGGGACCGCGCAGCCCGCTGCCACGACGAGCTGCAGCACCGAGGAGACGACGATTACCCTGCCGATGTCCCCCTGCTGGAGCTTATCATGGACCAGGAAGGAGATTACGGTCCGGAGAAATACGTCGCGTTGTTCGGTCGATGCGAGGAGACGATCAGACGCCTGACACTGGCACAATACGTGCATGTAGTAGGCTGGTTTATCTACCAATGCATGGTAGGGCCAGCCATCTATCTCTCACGCGTGCCAGATTTCGAAAACTTGCCACAACCGCCCAGTTTGACAGCGGTACTAAATAAGGGGGCAATCCCACTCCCGCCACTGGGGCTCGAGTTAAACGACACCTGGTGGATGGTCAGTAGGCATGGCGACTACAAGGAGTACATGCCCGAGGGTTTCGACCCATTTTAAAACAGTCAGGGCTCTTTGATAGAGAAGTATTATGTCCGGTTACGGGCATACGATCTAGACAATGAGTACAATGACCCGGAAGACGTACAGCGTCTCGAGGTATTACACCGACAGATGCTGCAGTGCAGTCTGACGGAGTTGGCCCCGTTGCCACGACCGACTCCACGGCCGCCACTCCATGGGGACCCCTTCGCCAAGGTCGCGCTCGAGCGCAGACGACGTCGGTTGGGAGGGGGCCTACTTGGATGGTTGCTAAGTGGGTTCGTTGGTCGCTGGTTATCGTGGGTTAAACATTGAGCTAGACAAACCTCTCCCCTCTCAAACTAACGGGTTATGGCAGAGTAGCGGAATGAGCAAACGGGTATTTCTCCCATGTAAAGTATATTGATATATTCATTCTCTGACTTCTCTTCCTCTCACTTTTCTTTTCCACGTTTTTTTGGCATATGTTTGTTTACGATTGTACGCGGATATCATATTTCTGGATGAGGCGGCGGAGGTGGAATTTTAACGTTTGTATGCGACTTTAAATATTGTACGACATTTAGTTTTTAGCTATTGTGCGCATTTTATGTTACGCGATTGGTGACAGTTCGACGTGGTGTCCTTGCGAGGGGACACGATATGTTTTCCACGATAGTACGTGGATACTATCTTATTGATATTATTATAGAGATGACCAGTATTTTTTTAAACGATGAGGGTTGCACGCGGTTTTTTAAACGGAAATACGGCTTATGACACTGTGATATAATATTGTACGGTTGTGGGTTGACTATATTTGTACTATTGTACGGTTACGGTTGTTTTTTTAGTATGATACGATTATATACTTAAGCGGTTGCAGTTACAAGCAGACATATCACAATGATAGTACAGCCATTCACATTGTCCGTGGCTCGTATAAGCTATCCGTTTAAAAAATTCATAGAGGGTTTCTTCCAGTCGGGAGACTGGGCTAATCCGATTTCATCGACTTTTTTTAGGGCGGGGTGAAATGTACGTAGTACGGTGGTTTAGCCACGCAATTAATTAGGTAAATCTCAGGGACGACGGCGAGGGACACAGAAGACATTAGGTGCATACTTTAAGAGCACACATAAATTCAACGGGACAGAACGCATTCAAAAAATGGTACAAACACATTAGCCTCCACGTCGTTGCGACGCGGTTTATCAACGGCCATCATTCGTACCTGGCACCTTCGGACATTAGTCGCCAGCCGGTCGGTTATACCCACTAGACGCGCCATAAATTAGGAAGTCTAATTTAGGTCGCGACGGACGCGCTTACGGTTTAAAAAGGATAGGTTTTGGGAAAAACGGGGCAGACGAAGGCTACCTCTGACTGGTATGTGTACACTGTTTTGATCCGTGTTTGTAATAAAACTGTAATTGTCACCGTTTATACAACTGTTACGTTCTACTGTCTACAAACCACAAGTTCTACTCTACAGTGGTACGCGTAGGTAGGTACAGTGGTTGGTAATAGTGGTAGGGGTGCAGCCACCAGCCTGCACGCCAAACTGTGGCAATTTCAAAACAGACAGCCCCACACGACATCCAACCGGCGGACCCCCATCTCCAATGCCACGCCTTATTTATAAGGGCGCCCAGGAGCTATTTGCTACGTTCTGGATTAGTTGTTAATCCTATTTTTTGTGAGCTTTAACAGAATTTCCGTCTCATCACGACTTGTGTTAACACCGTGGATCCAAACTGCGACAAATACGTCCAAACGCATTCGATTCGAACCGTGGAAAAACACGTCCGGTGTCAGCTACTATACCTTCCTGCTGAGTATTATTCGTGTAACTCACTATCTCTCATCCGTGCGTTTCAATGTTGAACGCTGATGATGTTTATAATTCTCTGCTTACTTCAAGTCTTCAGCTCCAACGTCACTCAACGCACAATAAACTCATCAACCACCACCGCCAAGACCAAAGTCGAAGACACTGATGCCATCATCGCTACCACACGCAAGATAGCGAAACTAACAGCAAATGGCCCGCGTATCTTCGAACGCCGAAGAGGCGGCGATCCAGCTCATCGTGACATCAGCGGAGAGGAATGCCAGGGCCGCAGTCTAGACGACCCTTCCTGCTGCTGCCACCCTGGAGAGCGTGGTTGACCCCAGTATCACCACCACCCCCACGCCCGTCACCAATAACGTTTGCACGCGCCAGCAATGTGCAACGTTCATCGCCACCAGCCGCAATCGCCAGACACCAGCAGCAACACAGTTGGTGATTCGGCCGCAGCGTAGTGTGGACGTGTTTTCGGAGTGCTCCGAGGTCTGAGTGAAAATCTTGTGATATTTAGCCATTGAATCACCAGGGTCAAGTAGTATCTATATATCTTATCAGGAGTGTATCAATACACTCCTGATATTGATACACTCCTGATCTTATCTTAACAAACTAACACCGTAAAAATTCTAACAACGTAAAAATTCTACTATAAATTCACTATATATTAATATAACAAATCTCTCTCATATGGGAACCCATACGAGTTCATTCTTAAGCTAAATTGTATTAAATTAACTTATAGGTAGTAATATTTAAGCAGGTAGTTTAAAACATGGCTGGAACTTTCCCGCAAAATTCTTAGAAATATTTTAGCGGCACGTCAGAGAGCACAGTGTGAGTGTTGTAACTTCCCTGTACAAACTAACACAGTTATCTATCTCGTCTTTGAGTGTTACCGGGGCGGCTGGGACGAAGATTAACAGAATAAGGTAATAACACTTAGTTAAATTAATTCGATTGTGCTTTGTTGTGGTGTCAATCTGCACGTATGATAATGACGGAGGAAGCGAATGTAAAATATGTAAGAAACAGTATACAGAGGAGGATATGGTTCAATGTGGAGACTGCGAATCGTGGTCGCATGATGTTTGCACATTACTGCCACATTACCAGTTGGTTCTCCTAAAAAAACAACCGGAAATACACATGTAGGTTATGTGCTGAAGAGAAGTACGGGGTTCCAAAGGAAGGAGGTTCACCTCACTGTCAATTATCACTGTCAAAAGAATTCGAGGAAGTTAAAAACAGAGCAGATAAAACCGAAAGAGAAAACAATGAA